TTTGTATTTTTGTTTGTATTGAAATAACTCAAAAACTACTGGGGGATTTTAAAAATTCTTTCAACTAATAAAATTTACGTTATAGCTGAGTAGCATGGCCCATGATTTTTGTTATTTTTTAATTTCTCGAACGAAGTCGCGAGCAAGAGCTAATTTGAAATTTCTCTAAATCTAAATCTTTTTTTAAAGACCAAATCTTTATTAATATTTAAATTTATTAAAGCGCAATATTAGTGGCCAGTATACAAACTCTGGCCATCAAAGAGGTCGAAACTTAGGGACTGTCCGACTGTAAATTGTCTAACAATTCATCATGTAAAATATTTTATGGAAATATCGGATTCTGTTCACTTGTCTAATAGTGACGTCATTTTAAGCTATCTGAATTACTTACACCAGTGATGGGACAGGCGAAGATGACTTACTTTCCTAAAGCGGTGAAGAGAACTTGTACATTATCTTCGTGTTTCCTCTGCGTGAGGGCGACATTGATCACCTCCTCGGGCAGGGCGCGGCGCAGGATGGCCTGCAGCAGGCCGTGCGGCGCGATCTCTATCGTGATCGCATTGGGCTGGATGAGACGCGCTGTCTCCTCGAATAGCACTGGACTCTGAAGGATTCAGACATAGACATGAGAAGGGGTCATAATTGTAGTCCCTTTACCTTTACACCCCTTTCTTAAGAGGAAAAGATGGGAAGGAAAAGTGCATTTAACCTGGGAGGAGATGAGTAGAAAGGGAAAATGTCCTCTTTATGTGCATCTTCGTCGATTAACGGTATCCAACACACACTGGTGGCCGCTTTTTAAAAAAAGCAACCATTAGACAAATCAAGAAGTCAGTATACGGTCTGTGGTTATCAGATCTATGGTAACTGACGATGGATTCATTTAAGAAATCGATTATTAAAATTAGTCATATATTAACAATGTCAAACAGCAAGTGATAATTTAAAAACTAACAGCATCAAAAAGCAAGTTGCTAAGTAAAAGTACAATCGCGGAAATCTGCGATGTCCCATTTCGGGAAAAAATGCCTTGTTTATTACGAGACAAATTCTGCCTTCTACTAATAACTAAATTAGATACCAGTGAGTGCAAACAAAGGGATAATAAAAAAAACGCCGTATAGCACTAACCGATTTTTTTTTCCTACAGACACATTTATAAGCTGCGTTGTATTGTTTATTCCGCTCTTTTCCAAATGTTCAATGGATTATAGCTTTTATGGAATACCGACAGTTTCCCTGATTGTACTAATATTCAAAAACATCTTACCAATAAATTATTAGTGTGATATTCTGCAGAAGAGAACTCAGCTCTGGGGTCTTTCCACAGCGCCTGTGGTACTGAAGTCGAGACCCAGCGCTCAGACCTAGGTTTAGGGTCCTTGATCACTTCGCGCAGGTATTTCAGTAATTTAGGACCTGGAATATAATGTATTTATTGATACTAGTTATGGAAAATAAAGAATTTGGATTTAAATCTAAGATTTAAAAAAAATGTGTATTGAGAACATTAGTTTTTGCTTGTGTCACAAAGACATTTAAAATATATAGACTAGACATGATGAGTTTTTTTCACCGGTAACTTCTTTGAAAGGTACTAAGTTAGTTTAGTGCCACCTCATAATTGTATTGACATTTTACAAAACATTTCACAAAATTATAATAAGCGTTTTATCATAAAAAAAGAGTGTCATAAAATAAAATATTAACATTTAAAATATAATTTAGTGACATACATTGGTAATTAATTATAATACAATTATTAATATCGATTTGTTAGAGGATTTATCAAGAAGTAGCGTTAGATTATGTGTAAAATGTCTCTAGTAAAGTGTTAATTATGCTTGGTCTATATTTTTATCTGTTTGTCGTGTAACACAATACTTACCAGCTTCAGCGATGTATCTGGAGTGGTAGGCGATGTTGGAGCAGGGCACCTCCTTGGCGAAGACTCCCTGCTGGCTCAGCTGAGACACGAACTGCTTCATGACGTCAGCAGGACCCGAGATGGTGCTGGAGTCGGGTCCGTTGTGACACGCCACCTCGATCTCCGGCGGACACATCGATTTGATCTGTTCGTAGAATTTGAGGTCCATAATGGTAAATGCAACTTTTTGAAGAAAAATTAATTGATAATAATGTGAATTAATAGATTTAAAGCGGCAGATATGTTTCTATTATTAGTTCCTGCGGTACCAGGTGTAACACACCTGGTGCTTTAGACCTGGTTTCGTTTTCAACATGTTAAATATATCTAGCTTTAGTATTCTCACCGAATTCCATCAAATTTCATCAAGATCTGTGCAGCAGTTTAGGATACAAACTCTAACAAACATCCATTTAAACTTTCGCATTTATGATATTAGTAAGAAGCAAGATGAGTTTATAGAAGAAGATAAGAAGGAGCTTTTGCCCAGCAGTGGGCGTCATTTGGCTGAATAAAGAAGATAAGATTAGAGGGAGTGTTACCTGGTTGTATCCCAGTCCCACCGCAGCCATAGAACCCTTGATGAAGGGTGTCTCAATGGAGGCGAGGCCGCGGCTGAAGGCGGACAGGATCATTTCCTCAGCAGAGAAGCAGCCGTCGGCGTACGCGCAGCCCAGCTCCCCCACACTGTGCCCTGGGAACAATACGACACTTAGGGCCTGTCCCTATCTTGTTAATTGTTAGATAACAATCCAACGTTTAAATATGTGATAGAAGTATCACATTTTGGTCCTCTATCTGACAGTTACGTCACTTTTAATCTTTCTGAGCCTCTATCAGCCAGTGGTGAGGCCCTAAAAGACCAAAGAAGGAATGGATTGTGTAAAAGATACAGAAGGGAGTAAATTCAGATATGTCATGATAGAAATGTATAGAATATAGAATTGACCCTAGTTAGTGACCAGGTCTTAGTCAACCTGCTCTGCAGCACTTCACACATATCTTTGAATTTCTTCGCAGATATGTGCATCACGATGTTTTCCTTCACCGTAAGAACGTCGGGTTAATTATGCATGGAATTCAAAAATCATAGGTACAGCGGGTTTCGAACCCAAGACCTGTAGATTACAAGTCAAGTGCTTAAACCACTGACGTTCTGGAATAGACATTGTGATTGTATGAAATAGGTTATAGGGAGAAGGGCAGGTGGATAAAATTGGGCGAGTGTTCTTACCAATAATATGGTCAGGTTGTATGCCGACAGCTCGGAGCACGTCGGTGAGGCCGACCTGCACAGCCGCGATACCGACGAACGAGTTCAGGATGTTGTCGTATATTGTAGGGTCAGGGTCCGTTATTATCTTTGTCAGGTTAATGCCTTTCGGTTCCAACACTTTGTGACATCTAGAACGAATTAAGTTAAAATTGATAGAAGTTAACATTAAAATAAAAATAAATGTCCAAAAAGACTTCAAATAATATATAGAAGTTGACACTGCAATTGAGATATTTTTGAATTAATCTAATGATAGGTCTTTAAAACCACACGTTTATATTTAAATATTTTCTTTTACACTGTTTAGTTTATTTTATAACAAAAGATCTTATAGTTTTGGAAAAAAAATTATAACACTAAAAGAACATGAGGTGGCACTTGACAACATAGTACCTATCAAAGAAGTTACCAGTGAAATGTTCACTATGTCCAGTCTATATCTTGGTTACGCCACTTGAAGGACAGCTGGAATTTTGTCATCTACTGAGGTAAAAAACAGTGTAGTTTCTTGACTAACTTTTGTATGGCGGCTGCGAAGACCGGGATCCTCATGAGGCTTGCGGCCATGGCGGGCCACTGCGACCCCATGCCGGAGTACACGAACCACACAGGTCTGCGCACGCCCGAGAAGTACTGGATGTCGCGCGACACGCTCACACTCCTCGTTGGAGTCGACTCTATATTACGTCAATTTGTAACACTTTAATCTTGTAATACTTGATACTAGCTGTATCTCGCGACTTTGTCTCAGTGAAATAAAAAATAATATTGTGTCTATGTTATTAGATAACGTAGCTTTTTAATGGCCCAGTAGTTTTTGAGTTCTTTCAATACATACGAAAATGCAAATATTTCCTCTTTATGGTTACTAGCTGTTGCTTGCGACTTCGTCCGCGTGAAATTAAAAATATTGCCAATGTTACTCACAGAAAAATAATCTTTTTAATGGTGAAAGAATTTTTGTAATCGGCCCAATAATTTTTACGTAAATCGAATACATACAAAAAACCAATAATCCCATTTTTCCCCTTTATAATATTAGTATAGATAAAACGTTTTTTTTTT